ACTCGGTTGAGGGACTTGATTTAGGCAGACGGAGGCAAGATTTAGGCAGACGGAGGCATGATTTAGGCAGACGGAGGCAATCCGACATGGCGACGTCGATATGCTCGACATGCTCTCTTCGTATTTCCCGTTTGCTTCCCACATCGACTTTACGACGGAGAGAAACAAAGCCGTCCTCCATGGCCAGAAACGCTTGGTTCGGTGGCTCGGCGGTCCGTAGTGAAGCCATTTGTGCATGCAGGCGACCTCGGACCATTTGCACGTTTAGGATCACTCAACATATATCATGTGGTCCGTATGACGCAATCCTGCCTCCAGTCCTTTCACCTCGCGGCTGTCTTGAAGCGAGGACCCATATCGGTTGGCTTCTGACGGGTTGGAACGTTGGGTGTTGCGTCACGTTCTTGGGACCTTTGGAAAAACACGCGAGCAACGTGATGCTGATACTAAAGATCAAAGTCCGGCTTGTGCATAAAATGGAACACTCAAGACAGTTGGCGGTTCTTGTATGCACACATCATTCAACCCCTAGCAGTTTCGGAATGCACACATCATTCCACCCTTAGCCGTTTCAGTTGCAAACTCTCGTAACCATCCATTCTCGATCGCCCGAGCCAAGAGGCTAAACAACAATAGCGCAAGCTTGCTCCCAATTACTCGTCCAGCACATGTTCTTGAAAAGCATCGAAGATAGCCATGCCACCCCCACAAAACCCATCAAACGAAAAAAACTCAACAGATGTCATTTTCAACGTGCATAGTAAATGCATTACTCGAGAAAGCTCAGTGTGTACGCACGACTCAATGCAGACGGAAAGCCAGACACAATTTGTCGACTTAGCACTTGGCGTTGGAGCCGGCCGGGATGTGCGAGCACTTGGTCGAGGCCTTGCCGCCGGTGACGGCGACGCCGGTCCACTTCCAGTTGCTGCACGCGCCCTGCGCACACAGAATGTACGTGTTGGTGGCCTTGGCAGAGACGGAGCCCGTGATCTTGTTGAGCGTGACGTTGGTGATCGGGACGCCGTTGGTGGGCTTGCCCGTCGGGCCGCCGTTGAGGTAGTCCTGCTCGATGACGATGCCGTACTTGCCAATGTTTTCGAGCTGGATGTTGGAGTACGTGATGCCTGAGACCGACCCCTTGGCGCCCGAAACCGTCTTGATGCGCACGCCGTTGTCGCTGTTGACGATCTTGGAGTTGGAGATGGTCACGTCCTTGACGATGTTGTTGGAGCGACCGCCGACCGACCCGATCGAGAGACCGTGGCCGCCGCTGCAAAAACCGTTGGTAAAGGTGATGCCAGTGCCCGAGTTGACGGCGAGACAGTCGTCCTGGTTGTAGACGATCGCGCCCGAGATCAAGATACCCGTCGAGCTGCCGACGTCAAAGGCGTCCGTGTTGTGGCCGCCCTTGGTGTCGCCGAGCTTGTTGTCGATCGTAATGTCGAGGTACTTGGAGTTGG